CCCCCCCCCCCTCGCCCCCTCGCCGCTGCCCCCCATCTGCTCCAGACAAGAGAAAACGACCGTTTTGTTCCGCTCCAGACCATTTGTTCGAATATTCCGCGTTCTTGGCTTAAGCAAAAAGTACGGGCTGCTTTGTGGTCTGAAAGACTTTGCACTTATTGATGGTTTAGTATCATGGAAACTCTAGCTGTAATACTGAACTGCAGATGAGAGGTTAAAAGACTGAAAGTTCTTTTCAACAGTGTTTGAAAAGAGAAATAAATAAAGTATAATACCAAAGCTAAGAAGAATCTTGTAACGAACAAAATGGAACACCTAAAAAGGAAAGACAGACTTGAGGACTTTCCTCATCCTCTGTAGCCTTAGTCCATGCAGCTTAGACGCCCAAACGGGCCTCCAAGACCTTACCTTACTTTGTCTTTGTCACAAACCGAATAAGACTGAAAGCCTTAGTCTGCTTTACGTAGGTACCTTGTAGATCTCCAGAAGAATTGTTTGCAGCCGGCCCTCAAAACCCCAAGAGACTTCGCCTGCTGCTAGTCAATATATAGGAAGGCTATTCCAAAGAACTGCTCCAGAAAAACTATTTTGCTTAACATTTGTCTGGGGTACAGGAATAGCGAGTTTTCTATTGGTGTCTCTTTATGAGTAATTAGAGATATTGCAACGATCTGCCATTGCTACGATCTACTATGCACTTAACAAGGCCCCTCAAGGTACTTAAGATAGTATGACGCATAGTCTGCGATACACCCGCCTCTCACCGCTCTTTGACGAAATGTCCCTAGCGGCAGATAGCGATGGGAGGAAGCTGTATCGCAGGCTTTTGGACACAAGGCTTTTCTACTATTTACACGGGTAAAACGGTCGGTTTGGGCAAATGGTGAGGAGAACTGATTCAGGACCGACAAATTTTGATTCCATTCGGTAATCGCGTTTCCCATTTGCCTAAGTCAGTTTCGTTTAATGAAAAACGGCCGCGAAAGCCTGTAACTAACACTCAAAAAAGGTTTGAAGACATGAAATCCGAATTTCAGCCTGGACGTTTCCAACCAGGAAAACAGGCGAATGCCTCCGTTTGTTTCAGGAATTTTCCACTGAAGCGTCGAAAGCAACCCGAAACTGAGTTAATGGTCCTCCTGGCAAAGCACCAAAGTGTCCTTTTAGTTTGTTTGAATGGGTCAAATATACAGTCATGCAGTAGCTTCATTATTCATACACGTTATCATACAAGTATATAGGCTCCTCTTTGGCATCCACGTAACTTTTTTTTCAGTTTTGAGAGCCCGCAAGGGTAAAAACTTCGAAAGAACTATTGCACCAATACTTAGTTTAAAATATTTAATTGCTTCAAGGAAATTAGTTTTTATAAACCAAATGGCATTGATTGGCGATGATTTAGTTCGTAAATATCTCTCAATGCAAAAATTCATTCAGTAATCATTTTTAGTTTTTAGATTTTGTTCTGTTTATATACCATTTTTTGAGGGAAATCGCCAGTCTGAAACTGAACTTGAAAGTGTGTGACGCTATCCCTGGGACCCTATATGTTGTATCTGACGAAAATGTTGCAATCAATGAGAATAACAGGTTTACTGAAAGATTTAATTTCGAATTCGCTTTTACTCTGCCTTTAAGTAAATTGTTTAAAGCGTATCTATCGGTAACACTGGCGTGACGGGCCGTGTAACGCTATTTTTAACCACTGGAATGTCGCCTTTTTTCGCAAAATTAGGGTTGAACTCAACGTCTTGCGGGCTACTTAAAATCGTTTGCCCAGAGATTTGTTTCGATTTTCTGATAGATTGGGGCCTAGTTAAGCAGCAGAAAGTCAATTTGCGAAATTTTAAGTTATAGCGCATTGTAAAAATTTGCATTATTTTATCCCTATAATTTTGAACGGCAGAAATTGTCAATAGGGCCTATTTTTAACAATACCTTTTTGGCCACAAAATTACTACAGCTTTCACAAATTTATCTTCTTATAAGAAAGAAAGGGTCATAAAAACTATTCGTGTTCTTCAAAGGCTGCCAAATCGTTGTGGTTTGACCTACGAGTCAATGGAATTTTGTGTAAAATTTCGTTTTACCGGAAGTGGATTTTGACTGAACGGGCAAAATGCGTTTTCTCGAATTTTAAAAAAAGAACACGTTATTTGGGAAAACTAACTACAGCATGTCTCATTACTCGTTAAGGGTTATCGATGAGCCAAATATGAGCCTAATCAAATTTTGAACTTGTGCCGACCGTGGGTCGATAATTACGGAAAGCCGCTCTTAAATGAAACCTTTTTAGTAGTAGTTTCAAATGATACTATTTATTTATTATGTAGTACTAGCTTTTGAATCTGTGGATGACATCCTATGGTATGACCATTTAAATGAAACCACTTTGACAGAACGTTCACGTGCAACATGTACGTTTTTTTTTGTGTGTGTGCCTTTTCCAAACTGAAAATTTGGAAAGTTGACTTTGGCCACTTCTGGGAGTGAAAGGGTTAATAAGAGAGACTCTGTAAAGATACATAATTGCAGCCGGCCAAACAAAGATTGCTTGAACAAACCACGAGCTAAGAAATAAATCAAACAAAAGCGTGGCTTACAAGGCAGCAAAAACAGCTGAATAATCAACCGTACACTATCTATCAGATCCATCAGATCTATCAGATCCAATGTATTGATAATTATGACAGGGCGTCACAAAGAAAGATTATCCTCTAGTTATCCTTTTTACAACAACAAGACGGAACGTGGGATAAACACTAGTTTTGCAGTGTCAATAGATTGAGAATCAGAGCTACTGCGATTAAACATTTCCAACTGCCTTGAAGGAAAGGGCAGAGAGAATTAACTGGAATGAATCCTTTCCTTAGAATCCTGCTACTTTGCTGTGTTTGTCATGGATCAGGTAAGAATGGATTATTCTTATATTCCTGAAAGATCACAACTGCTTCTGACCTACTTCCGAGTCAAGGAGAAACATTTATAGCTTTTAGCAGTCAATAGAATCGGGACTGTATTCATCATCATCATCATCATCATCATCATCATCATCATCATCATCATCATCACACTTACACCACTGGAGTGGACGAGACATTTTCATGGACATCTCTTCCCAAACACCACGATTCGCTATCGCTGTACTCGGGTCCCTTAAGATCATATTAAATCCTGAATCCCTAGTAATCACTCCGGGGTTTGTTAGCTTACACGTGTACCGTTGACGGCCACTTTTAGAGTCTTTTTTATTGTATTAAAAACTCCCGGCCAAAAGCAAACCCTACTGTTGTCATTAGCCTGTCACTTCTGAGCCCCAGTTTGACTTCTTGCCCCTTTCTCGAGAAGGTCAGCTGTATGCTCATAAATTACCGCATGAAATGGTGAGACGCGGCCCAAACCAAATATTTTCTGTGGCGTTGCTAGACTCGAATGATTTCCTATTTATTCTTAACAAAACACTAAAAGAGACGCGACAAATAGTGAGCGAAAAGGAAGAGCGCGAGGCGCAAGGGAATCATAGGGGCGGAGATTGGGAGAGCGAGAAAATACAGGGCTATTATCAGTCTACTATGCAATTGGTTCTACCGCTAGTATAAAAACACACGATGATAGTCTCGCACACGTAAGACTTCTAAGCTGTGACTGAAGAAGGGATAGTTCTTGAGTGTTCGTATCTAAATGTTCTTTAATCGTTTCTTATCCTTTCTCCGCCAAAAGCTCTGACGCTCAGCTCAATCAGATCGCGCTCAAACCATGAAAATAAGGGCTGTTCGTAACTATTATTTGGAACATATTTCAGTTTGAGTTGATTGCATCTTTAAATAGCATCCCAAATAATATTACTATTCTTTTTAATTTCAGATCCAGTAGCTCCATCAAACTTTGCAGAGTTTATGAGATTGGAAGCTGAAGCATTTGGCTTTGGACTTGGTAAGAAAATTGACACTCTTTTTAAAGACAAAACACGGAAATGCTGATCAGTAATTGAATACGCCTCGGCTGTATTCGCGAATCTTTCAAAGTATTTGTCTGATGCGTTGGAAGAAATTCAAAAGCGCGCCCTCAGGATAATTCTTCCGAATTTACATTATGAAGAGGGATTGATACTAAGTGGCCTGCCGTCTACTATCTGAACGCCTGGAACAGGCTAAATTTTGCCCTGTGATGAAATTTCCTTTGTTTTTTTTTGTAATCGCCATAACTCTAATCAAATATCCTTATAGAAGTCTAACTAATCAATAGTAGTCATAATCTTAGAAATTCAACTAATAAAAATTTTCTTTCCTCAACCCAAAAGAGATTTCCTCTGAAAAACAGCCTAAGTTACAATGGAGCCAAGATCCGAAATCGTGAGACCCTTGCGTCAGTAAGGCTAAAATCAAATCCCGTAGGCTTTAATTAGAACATTAATAGTGAATTTGTCTTATTACTTTTTTTATTTATTTATTTTTATGGTATTATAAAATTTAATTTAGATTTTATCGCTCTCTTTTAGAATACTTAATGTATAGATTATAAGGTTTATAATTAGTATTTGCAGCGTGTACTTTAGATTGTGTAATTTCATATTTTGTATTTAAAATTAATTAGCTATCTATTCAAAGGCCAATTCAAAGGCAGATCAGGTAAGAGCCTACTCCAGACTGAACCGCTGACCACATGGGAGTGCGAACAAGTGACGGATGTACCATCACATGTGCGAAGTGAATACCCTCTGAGCCCATTTTACAAAAAGTACCTACATGCATACGGTATCCCTGTGATTAGTTCCGAAAACGCCACAGATGCCGCTCTTAGGAGAGCTTGTTACGTTGTGATATTCCTACTTGCTGACCGCGAGGATATTCGNAGCTATCTATTCAAAGGCCAATTCAAAGGCAGATCAGGTAAGAGCCTACTCCAGACTGAACCGCTGACCACATGGGAGTGCGAACAAGTGACGGATGTACCATCACATGTGCGAAGTGAATACCCTCTGAGCCCATTTTACAAAAAGTACCTACATGCATACGGTATCCCTGTGATTAGTTCCGAAAACGCCACAGATGCCGCTCTTAGGAGAGCTTGTTACGTTGTGATATTCCTACTTGCTGACCGCGAGGATATTCGTCGCTCGGTTTACAAGCGCCGCGGACGAGCAGGCGTGATCGCTGCAACTGAGGGTGTTACGAGTATTCCAGAACATTCCTGGCTCGATGACTGGTGGAACTGGCGGGCGAGGGGCCTTGGAGGGACCGTTTCACAGCCTATTTCTACTTGTGAGTATTTACTTCTCAATAACCTTTTAACCCAAGCAGTGCTCGTCATACTTTTGTTCATCCATGAGAGTATGGACCCTAGAAATTACGTAAAGATGGCGCAAAGTATATTACTCCTAGTTGTCACTCGAGTGCAATTTTCCAAATTCACCTGAAATGGGTGTTGTAATAAAAAGTTTTATTGTCGTAGTAAAAAAACAATGTACAACAATTTTCAGTTGTCTATTTAATTTAACAAAATATTATATTTTAAGCGCGTCTTTTCAGTCATGTCAGATCGTACATGGCGTCTAAGTGTGGTAAGAGAGCTAGCCAAAGATTAGCTCAGGCATAAAAGAGAGACATTTGGACAACTACTCTCTGCTTTATTGTAGTAAGTTCAATTGAATTGCAAAAATACAGGGCTAAAATGTGGCTAGTAAAACATTGTGTCTTTACTGGATATCAATGTCCACCTTACATATCGGCTCAGCGGAAGCGTTGAACCAAAAACGATAACGTTTGCGTTCAAGGATTACATGATGGGGCGATTAAAAAAACGGCTTTTTTAAAAAAATGTAAAGCGATATTGGACGTTACATTTTAGGTGGGGAAGAGAATATTCTTTGCTTTACAAACGGTCAAGACAGGTATCCCAATCAAGATATCTTTCTCCACGAATTTGTCCACGGACTGCACAACCTTGGGGCTCACTTTGCAATTCCAGACTTCGATGACAGGCTGCGCAAGCGGTACAACTCAGTTAAAACCAGCGGTAAACTATGGCAGAAGACGTACGCTTTGTCTACTCACTGGGAGTATCTCGCCGAGGGAGCGCAGAGTTTCTTCGACTGTAACGCCCAGAGTGACCCACCGAATGGCATCTACAACCACGTCAATACCAGGACTGAACTTAAGTCTTACGACCCTGTTCTGTATGAATTTCTGAAGGAGATATTTCCTTGCCAAAACAGACTTCTGCAGCGATGTGACGCGAAAGCGGGTGCGTATGCTTTCTTCTTGGCACTTAAAAAGGTCAGCAATTGTTATCAGTTTGCTCTCAGTTTATAGCCGCGCAAGCGCACACAACGAAGGCGCTGAGGTAGAGCAGGAATTAACGAAATCAGGAATTTTTACTTCTATTCCCAGTTCGCTTTTCCAGGTGCGTCAATGGCCTCAAGCCAAATGAGCAAGTAAGGCGTCTACTTTTATAGCGAATATCTTTTGAAATACGTAACTGACCAGTAGGTATTACACATACATTTTATTTTTTACTCTTTGTCCAGGTGTCAAGCCTTACTATTTCAAAATGAATTGTGACAGTAGTAAGTATATTTTTTTCTCATTTTTTCGGTTTGAAGGCATTTATTTGCTGTTACGCAAACAGAAGTAATATCCTCTGTTATTATAAATAAAACTGTAATATGGCTGGTTCCGCGAGCGTGCAAGAAGAAGCGGCTAAGTACTGAGAAGCTACCCGAGGGGGCAATATAGGCCTGTCTTGGCCTCTCGGGATTGGGTCTATCTTGCCGGCAAAAAATGTTCCCTTGGCGATACAATAAGTCAGTCCTTTATTGACCAATGACTGGATACGGACCAAGTTGCACACACACCACATACACCCATACACACGTTTCTTTAGAGTGTTTTTTTTCCCACTGAGAGTTGCGCTATGAAATGTGTGTATATGTTCACTTATGTTGTATAGTTTCCTATTTTTTCCTTTAATTGTCAGATGGCAACGGCACCTGGATGGACTTCCAGACCAAGCGACCATTGACTTCTCTGCCGCCCTCCACTAGCCCACCTCCTCCTACCCCTACTCCAACGGGTAAGCTAACGTGTGTTTCTTTCTATAGTAAACTTAACATTTGTAAGCCAAGATAGACCCTTATTAAAGCCAAGGAAATTCGTTTTTTATCATAAATGTTAATAAATTTGGGCTTTGGCGAGGGTCTTGATAAGAAATGTTTAACACCCTCGAAAAAATATTGAGTTTGTTTCTTTGATTCCTTAAGTATAGAGACGGACTCATTTAACAATTTCGGAAGAATGACGGTTTTGAAGAGTCTCGCTCTTATGTAATAGATGATCACTGATTGCTTCTTCTTCAAAAACTGATTGTGAGCGCATGGCCACACCCAAATAGGGGGCATACCATATACTGTATGGTCATACACTACAGGTCTCAATCGGGGTTAACCCCAAAACAATAAACATTTTAATCGTTAGGTGTAAAATTGTTAACAATTAGTCTTGAAAAAAGTTAACCGTGAAATGTTTTCTCTTGCCACGAATTTACCATGTAGTTAGTTGTCGATATTCAATGTCACAACTTTGGGCCTTACTTCAGCTATCTTTTCCATCCGGGAAGGGGATGGAAACTTTGGAACGTCTCCGAAACAAATGAGTTTTCTTCTTCAGATATTTGCTAACTGTAACGGAGAGGACTAAACTATTAATGGTAGAAAGCCAGCATTCTTCTCACTGCCAACCGAAAATGCCACTTATAATTCATTGAGATGAGACTTTCTAACTATATCTATATGTAGTACTCGAGGATCTGTTCTTTTCTATCTTTGTTTAAAGTAAAGTGCACAGACGACCACAAATGGTGTTCTTACTGGGCGGGGGAAGGATACTGCGAAAGTTACCATAGTTACATGTCAAAGAATTGCAGGAAAAGCTGCAAGTTCTGTAAGTAATCATATAAAATATCTAGTAAGTTGGGTAATTAACATTAAATGCATTACAGTTGTGCAAACCTCCCCTAATGCCTACTTTACCTATATATCACTTTAATTGTTGAGTATTAGACCCGGTTCAGACGCCGAACTTTTCATGAGCCGAACCTAATTCGAATTAAAGCCGACCCAAATTATTTAGACCGGCTGATTTGATTCAGACGCTGATATTAATTGCAGCTGAACTAATTTCGAAATTTCGGTCAGGCTGCTTACAAAATACGTTATAATAATTTATGCATTAGGCTCGGTACATGAAAAGTTCGGCGTCTGAATCAAAGCCGTTCCAAAGTCGCTCCAAAGGCGAAATTCCCGGCCGAGCTAAGCGAAAAGAAAGGCTCAGCCGTTCCAAGTTGAAACACACGTTCCTAACTGATTCAGACAACGAACTTTCATGTACTTAATTCGGTGTATTAGGTTAGGCTCATGAAAAGTTCGGCGTCTGAACCGGGCCTTAGGGTGGCCTAAAACAACATTTTACCACTTTTACCTTTATGGCAGGCATAGCTAAGCAAATTCCGAAACGTGTTTTCAAAATCTTTCCAGGAGAATCCCATAAACACTTCAAAATATCCGTAAAATTTCTATAACATTAACAAACAGGGGGAACAGTTCTGAAAGTTCTAGGGCTTTGGTAAGGCAAATCAACAAACTGTGCCAAGTCCGCCATTTTGATTTTTGTTAGAAATAAACAAAATACTGTACGTTAAAAAAATACTCACCATAAATCTCTAAAACTCTCAGAAATCGGGATTTTTGTAGCTAGACTTAAGTCTGATGGTCAAACAAATGCCAAAAAAAACTAGTCACATGAACAAGTTAGCAAACGTAAGAAGAGACCTTTATATACAGTTATTTCGAGAAAGGTTGTCGGAAAAAGTGCACGCGACAATCCCGAAAGGTATTGTGGGTGGCTTTGAATACACTATTCTTCGAAGAAATTTGAAAGAATGGGATGAGAAGCCACGGACTAATGTGTTTGCGAGCTGCTAAAGGAAAGTAACAAACGTAAGTTCGACAGCTGCAGTGTCAGGAACGGTGTATTGATTATATCCCATATTGCCCTTCGGGATTGTCGCGTGCACATTTTTTCCGACAACCTTTCTCGAAATAGCTGTATATTTAGCCTTAGGCATTTATAACCGAAAACAATTTCGGTGACGTCATATTTTCATTGTCGAATTGTAACGAGTGTGAAATGATAATATCATTACACTTTGACGCGAAGCGGATTGTAAAAATCTTGTTTTTATTTCAGGCGGAAACTGAGGCAACAACAGCAGCGATAACAAAGTCAGGGAACATGACAGGAAAAGAATGTTTGCAGCTCTGAAGAGACATTTTCCTCTTTTGACTTAATTCATGCTCTATGCACATTGTTGTTTCTATGCACGAAGATTAATCTCAAGTAGTTTTCTTAACATTATTATCAACATTTGTCGGGTACTGTTGCAGTAATTATGTGGAAGCTAGACACTTTATAGCCATTACGTTTGATCCGTATGTCAAGGGAACTAAAAGTAACAAAATAAAAATAAAGTAGCAGAATAAAGAAAAAACTTTGAAGTGGCAATACTGCTCTGCCTCTCTAGAAAGAAAGAACATAAACTGGGGAAAATAATGCATATTCAACTTTCCAAGGACTGCACAAACTCCAACAAGGTTGAGCTCTGCGAGAGCGGGCGAGACGAAAGAAGGCCTGCAGCGTAAGACGAGTCTGTTGATTAGCTACAAACGATGGTGAAGCATGAAGGTCACAATCGGTTCTCGACATAAGTAGTAGCTGCCTAGTATCCGAGAAATGTTATTTGTTTGCTTGTAGTTACAGCCGTAGACTTTATATACATACATTGTTTACAGTTAGCCATTACGACACCTGAAAGAGAATCATGAGGTTATCACATTAAGATCTCTTGTTACAGATAACCCACCCAGACGAGGATAGGTTGGCCACACCACCGGCATCTACGTCACGTCCAATACTCTTTTCGAACAGTTAGTAGTGTGGGGAGACGGGACCTATGGGTTACCTTCTTCGTTATCCGAGAAGACTAGAAAGTCTAACCGTCTGTAGATGTCATTACAAAAACAGCACTTTCTTTTCCCACCTGAACTAACCAGGTGGCAGTTTCATATAAGGTGGACCCATCAGCCGACTGATTTGTAGGTGAGTACACTATTCAGCTGAGGGAGAATTTTCTGATTTACCCTTTTCAAACCACGTGATCAAGTCACACATTGTACTTTAGAGAAGCGCCTCATTCACCCTATTTGCGCAGGTGTATGAATACAAATATTGTAAATCGACAATGGACATTAGTCAAGAACGTAGCTTTCTCGGGCAGGAGAGAAAGATCCATGACAAGGGAAGAAGTCCAAAATACAAAAAAGTCTAAATCGATCAAGACAAATTGATTGTTACAACGTTTAAAGACATCTCCCGAACTAGGAGAGCATCCCCCGGACCCCTGTCATGGTCCTGAGGACAAATTAGCCTTACGCGTACGTTGCAGTAGTTCGCAAGGGAAGAGCAAAAGGAACATTAATGAACTGCGCTATGAGTCCCTGGATTGTTGCGCAGGCGAGCATGTTTCTTGACAGCGAACGAGCCAAGCACGCGAGGAAGCTGCCTCTTTCCAGTTACTCTCTCGGCTAGCTAGTTACCATAGTCCTGCCATGCCAAGCCTCGACCCGACTAAATGGACTGACATTCTTTCTATTTCCTGACGAAGAGTTAGAGCACTGCTTTTGATCTCAATGTACACGAATATTCAAATGTATTAAAGTTTGACGAAATACAAAATAATACGAACAATTAAATCATATAAACGGATAAAATGAACTGATACTTTTTTCTGTTTCCGAATGACTAGTTTAAGTCTACCGTATTTTTTTGAGGCATTAGAAAAAAAGGAAAGAGCAGTTTGATCTCAAACTACAAGGACCTTGCCCTCAATTGTAAGTAGTGTTTGACCAAATACTGAAATATGCCATTTAAAAGTATACTTTAAAAAGTTGCCAAGCAACGTCAGAGTGCTGTAAACTACTTTAATTAGTTTATAAAGGTATTTCATATTTACTGAAAGATTTACAGTCAATTTTGAAAGAATAAAAAATGTACTTTCTTATGTAAACGGAAAAGTCACTTCAAATAAACTCTGATCGCTTCGTGTGGTTTTGCGCCTTCGTTTTACGTTGCTTTATAATACATAGCACAGACATTGAAGTTGTCGATAAAACATATATGTTGGTTCTGTTCGGCCGAGGGCTTGACCGCAGAAGGGCGTTAGGGATAGGGTTAGGGTTAGATGAACTTTCTTATGGGCCTTCCGTGTGCTAAATTTTAAAAGAGAAGTAATTTTGAATGTTAAAGGTCAGCATTTTTTCGGGGCAGGGCTATTCGCGACCTTATATTAATGTGATCCCCGTAATGATGAAAAAAGTCTTTTGCGTTTCCAATTAGGGACACACTCTAAATATACATTTAGCCATACAAAGAATGTTTGAATAAAAGACAAACGAACGGTGATGAATAAATGTGTCAAGACAGTAAGAGCAGCTGCGTTGTTAACCTTATACACGGCAAATCCACTGGATTGATAATCATGACAGGGCAGTACAATTTAAGTAAATACAATCATCTCTAAATTGACCTGTCTTATTAGGGTGTGGGAGGCACCAGCTTATAAAAATAAATAAATTGGATCTCTCAGCAACTGCCTTTTAAAGTAACCACTTTTTAAGGAAATGCCCAGGGAAAAAGCTGCGATGAGTCCATTTCTTGGCTTGTTGTTACTTTTCTGCGTTTGTCAAGGTTCTTACGACCGAACAGGTAACAATCAAAAATTTGCTTTGGTTTCCCTTATAATAACTTGCACGTAAAGTTAAAAGGACCTTTTACTTTTCGCGATCTTTATCTAAGGAGACAAATTATAGTTTTTAAGGGTCCTTCTCAGCTGTATTGGTCAAAAAGGCTGTCAAAAACAAAGTTTAGAGTTGAGATATAACCGAAGAAACCCTATCCTTTCTAACTTCACTATTTCCTTCTTGCCACTTCTCTTGAATATAAGCAAACAATCGCACTTATAAGAGTGACAACATTGAAGCCTAATATTCCAGTTGCTCGCACGCCTGGAGGATGAGTATCTCTCTAAGGGATTTCGAAAATTCTACTGCCAGCTTATCTATATTAGCCTTTTGTACATTATGCTAGCATTTTTTCGAGCATTTTAGTGAGGTAAAAGCATTGAGCATTATTCGGGCATTTTAGTGGCATTTTTCCCGGAAAATTAATTTTTCCGAGAAAATAAAATAGAAATTAAATTTTTTCAGGAGCCCATGCCCCACGAGCTGCTGCGTTTTTAAAGAAAATGAAGACTAAAACTCAAAATTCACAAAAAACCCTAATACAGTTGTTTTTTTGGCCGTATTTATGAACTTGTACACGTTGTCGTTGTTACTTGCAACACTTGCACGTTTTTGTAAAAACCGTTTGTATAATGAGCATTATCGGAGCATTTTAGTGACTTTTTTGGGGAGACCGAGCATTTTAGTGGGAAAAATGGAGCATTAAGGTGGAGCATTTTAGTGGGGAAGCAAAAGCATAATGTACAAAAGTCTAATCTATATGGGTAAAACTTTACTGAGCCTACCAAAGAATAGGGTCAATTACCAGCCCCTGTTTGAGAAAGCGCGCGGAAAGCGAACCTTCCCAAAAAAGGCCTCCCAGTAATATGGGGGAAGGAGGGAAAAGGAAATTTACCTTTATATTAGGGTACAAGGAATATCTTGAGAAAACTCACAGGGCTCACCGGAACTGTACGCTTTTCAATGCAAGGAACGGGGGGAAATTGATTTTCTCGTGTGAAAGGTTATTTCATCCGAATATTTTCATTACTAGACTCTCATAGGGCGCGGACGTTTTTTTTGTTTAATTCTCTAGTCTTTCATAATTATTTACGAATTGCTGGCTAACGGAACGAGGGCGGATGTCGATTTGTTCTTTTCGAAAGAAATTTTGATAGGTCTCTCTTACGTGTTCCATAGCTTACCGACTTTTGCTTTAGTGCAGTTATTGGTTAGTGTAGGCCTCCATTACCATGTTATAGTCAGGAAACTTCGGAAACTTGGCAAACTTATTTAAGTCACAGGCGGAGTAACAAAATGATATTAATACCGATTTCGTGGAACAAGGAATAAATTTCAGATTATTAAGGAGAAACTACCTACTAGAAAACATGACTCTTTCTGTTATAACTTACAGATCCGGCAGTCTCGCAGCAAATTTTTTAAATTGGGTGTGTGTATTGTGTTGCAATCAATAAAATCACATTATCTATCAAATCTGTTTATTTTTCGCAGTGCCCTTTTAACAAAGCTGGTTTTCACACGAGCCTTGTGAGAATAAAATAATTCAAAACGTTTAACATTAATGCCAACTATAAAATACTTAACTTTGAGAAACTCTAAGAACCTCAAACCCCGGTGACCCTTGTTAATTGAAGAAAAATAATAAAATGAAATTAGAAATGTAAAATTGTGTGACCAAGAAAGTAACGTTTAATTCTTTTTCGGCAACGTAATGGACATCATAAAATATAGAATTCTAAAGTAATAATAATAATAATAATAATAATAATAATAATAATAATAATAATAAACATAACAATAATAATAATAATAATGACAACATAGTTGAAGAGTGTATCGGTGATTGAAACTAACAGGCAATTCACTTTTTTAACAGCAGCTAATGATCTGTGCATCCTACTTGAGGGTACCCCGAGGTACGAACGGAATCCATAATTTAAATTTAGGACTTTTACTAAGTACGTATAGGAGAGGGGCGAATAGGGTTAGGTATATCCTCCCATCGATTATGATTTATTTACCAAATCCGCCGTTAAAATTTGACTCTGAATCCGAAATCAGGGCAAAAATATTTTATAACACGCAAAGTCCAAAATCGGGGCAAAAAAAATATATGGATCTGCAATCTGCTGCAGTTGCAGGATCCACAAATCCTGCCATTACAATTTCGCTCTGAATCCGAAATCCGGGGGAAAATAGTTCGAAATTCGCCGATTCGTTAGCCTATTCACACCCCTCGTCGAGAACAGGCCGAGAAATACGGAGACGAATAAATGCATATTAACTGGACGAGCAAACGTTAGGAAAAAGAGGGAGCGCCCGCCCGCCTGAAGGGATGAAAAATCAGCTTGCTTGAAGAAGGCTTTTATCTTCTACGTGTCAGAATATCTAGTTCGGATTTTTGGGCTTTGATACTCAACAAATTAAAGTGTAGAAAGTAAACAACTACACAGTCGGAGACTCAGAAAAAAAAAACGTAAGTACGATGGCCTCATTGTTTGGTTCATTTTGTGTTAAACCAACGTATTATTTTCGTTTTTTCGGCACCTTTTAGGTCGATCAGGGAGGAGCCTACTTCAGAGTGAGCCGCTGTCCACATGGGAGTGCGAAAATGTGACGGATGTACCATCACATGTGCGGAATGAATACCATCTAAGCCCATTTTACAAAAAGTACCTACACGCATACGGTATCCCTGTGATTAGTTCCGAAAACGCCACTGATGCCGCTCTTCGGAGAGCTTGTTACGTGGTTGTATTCCTGCTCGCAGACCGCGAGGATATTCGCCAATCGGTTTATAAACGTCAAGGACGAGCAGGAGTGATCGCAGTAACTTAGGGCGTTACGAGTATTCCAGAACATTCCTGGCTTGAAGACTGGTGGAACTGGCGGTCAAGGGACCTGGGTGGAACTATTTGGGTTCCTATTTCCACATGTGAGTATTCATGCGTTGGGCTGTTCGTAGATTTATGACAAGACGTCAGTTTTTAAATATCTTTAAAGTGGCAAAAATTCAGTATTCGTTGACATCGAAATGAAAAGTGACACAATACTTGCCGAGCCGATCCTATTTCCACATGTGAGTATTCATGCGTTGGGCTGTTCGTAGATTTATGACAAGACGTCATTTTTTAAATATCTTTAAAGTGGCAAAAATTCAGTATTCGTTGACATCGAAATGAAAAGTGACACAATACTTGCCGAGCCGAGGAGAGGCGAGATAAATATTTCTAAAGCGCCACATGTTTCACGAAGATTGGAAATAAACTTTGTTTTAGTACAATAATATACACAGGAAGTGATCTCAAAATGGAAAGGAATTCATTAAAAAAAATAAAAAAAAACTGTTAGATTGATGAGTGACTTGATGCAAAGTGAGCATCAAGCTGTAAATGCATGTAATGCAGAAGTTATATCTTTACCGACTTTTCAGACATGTCAAATCAGAGCTTTAATCCTTCAGCAAACTATTATAGCAGATTGCTTAAAAGCCAAGATCATTGGCTGTGTTAGGAGTCAAACTCGAATCAGAGCAAGCGGTACAACTACCTTAAAAACAGCAGTGACCTATGGAAGAATACGTACCCCATGTCAACTCAAGGGGAGTATCTCGCTGAGGGGACACAGAGTTTCTTCGACTGCAACGCCGAGAGCCACCCGCCAAATGGAATCCACAACTACGTCAATACCAGAAGCGAATTGAAGTGTTACGATTCTGTTCTGTATGGATTTTTGAACGAAATATTTCCCTGTCAAAACAAATTTCTTGAACGATGTGACGCAAGGGCGGGTAACAGTCCTTCCTTCTTTATATCCTACTATTTAGCCGAAGTTGTTCTATTTCCTCAGGTATGGTTTATAAGCGCCTGATAGACGAGGTGCATTGCTCGGCATTTACCAGAGGAAAATGCTGAATTATAATAGCTGCTAAGAATAATCCATAATATTTTTTCCAATTTTCAAAATTGCTCACTTGATATACAAGTTTCAACTTGGGAGACATGGGGTTGATTTGTTCTCCCTCGCACTCCCATCCATTTCTTCCCTTTCCCCCATCCCTACTGGTCACGCTTTCGATTTTCACCTTCTCTGTACTCTTCATAATCTAGATTAACATGAAAAATAAGGGCCGAAAAGATAACGAACTCGAAACGATTAAACCTGAAGTAACGACCACTTACCATGAACGAAACGCTAAGATCATGTGAATGCAAGACCGAATAGAAAGTCACCATCTCATCTTTGTATTATATATTCTCACAAACCAAAAGGTTTCAAGGTCGGAACACACTGGGCGACATGTCGCTTGCAACAAGTCGAGAGGAAAAACCACTCCTCCTGCACAGGTCAAGCGACAAGTTGCTGCAACAGGTCGCGGCCCCGGCGACACGTCGCACCAACAAATAGCTTCGCGTGTAGAATTGTGCCGCACAAAATCAAACCAGTTTGAGTTTGTGCGGCTTGTGGTGACGACAAATTAAAAACGTGTCGCTTGTCGTGCAAACAAAGGTTTTCACAAAAAAAAATCTCCAGTATGAAGCCATTTCTTTGCTGCGACATTTTGTCGCCATTTGTCGCCTAGAGTACTGAGGAACGCTTAAAAGGAGGGCTCTCTCTTGCCCCCTTTCAATTGTGTTCCCTTTTTCAAGTCTTTAAGTGAGCCACTAAAGTGAGCAAGGAAGTCAATGACTTCTTGCAGACACAAGGAAAAAATCCTTCATTTTTACAATGCATATTTTAAACTGATTTATTGCATCTTTTTTTCTTCAGGTGTAAAGCCATACAACTTTAAAATGAACTGTGACAGTGGTAGGCCCTTTTTATTCCATTCACTTGTAACTATTAAGAACATTCATTTGTGGTTCCAGTATTAGACACTAATTTTTCCTATCCTGCGAAAACATGCGTCTCTCCTTGCTCCTCGCCGCTAGGGACGTTTTGCCAGGAGGGAAGAAATGTCTATAGCGGCAACAGCGAGGAGAGACGACTGTTTTCTCGGGCTAAATTTTTCTTCTTCTTTTGCCAGAGGGCAATGGCATCTGGATGGACTTCCAAACCAAGCAGCCCGCGAAAACACAACCGACATCAACACCCCTGAGTATTTCACCAACACCATGTACCACCCCTAGCCCGCCAGGTAATTATAGGTGTTCTTATAGATTCACCATTGAGCCTTGAAGTAAACTGGTAAATTTGACATATATAAAACCAACGCCATCACCAGTAGACGAACGTATTATGTTAGACTAGCTACACCCACTTAAACTGCGATAAGCCTTTTTCAGCCAGAAAAGTTTCTAAAGTAAAGGAAGCGAACTAAATAATTGTAGAAGAGTTTTACTCTTTCACAACTAAAAGATATACCAATGTAAAAAGTGGGACAGGATATCAGCACCAATTTTAAAGTCTATTAGGCGAACCCAATTAACTAGTATCAGTACGATCGTTTAAAAGTCGTTAAGACGGCCGTGGCTATAGAAGGCAGCGACCCCAAATCTAATGACAAGAACTCGTCTTATTTGTCCTTAATTTTTGCATCGTTTGTTTAATAAATGCTTAAATTTCTACTAAAAGTTTTTCTTTTTCTCTATATTTTTTTACAACGTGCCTAGATAACCACCAATTTTGTTCTGACTGGGCAAGAATAGGAGAATGCCAGAGGAACCCTGGTTACATGTTATTCAAGTGCAGGAAAAGCTGCAAGCAATGCAACTAAGAAAATATCAAACTCCTTCCAGAATTTGAACAAAATTAAAAGAAAAATGCACGTTGTCTCGCCTTTATATCGAATTGCTGAGTGTCTCTAAATTTTCTTCTTTTTGGTTTAGAAAACGGCGCTCAGGTACTTATAAGAGGGGAACGTAGGTGAATTTCTTATGTCAATTCAATATCATACTTGTGAATGCTCTTTGCAAACAGTTAGATACAGATATTTCGAAAAATTGGCCCAAAGTTCCCAGAAATTCTCAAAACAAGATATAAATACCCCAAAACAAGATATAAATACCCCATAAAATCTCATGATGTTATTTTGACGTTTATACGTTGCGTATACATATTTTCAAGACATACAGTTACACAAAATTAAGACTTCTTCGTTTTCTCTATGTGTTTCCGAGGCTACAGTTGCGACTGAAAGGCCAGTAGCAAGTGGGCTATGATGTACTTGACCTTCGCCACGAGTATATATGGTCATTCCCGACTTTCTTGATCCGAGTCCTCCACTTTGGATCTGCCATCTATTGCTAAATTAAGGGATACATAATTGGCAACTAGCACTGCTGAAGGCTATCGCTGCCTCATATAAATATAGGGAAACGTCTTGAATTAGTGAGTACAGTGAGAATCTCTAAAGGAACAGTAAGCCATGCAAAGAATGTTTGACCAAACGACAAACCTGGTCAGTACACAACGAAAGTTCTAAAAAGTTTCTCCTATTTACTGTAAATAAGCGGACACGCCTATTGACGTCCTGCCTATTAAGCGTACGCAGACTCCTAAGACGTATAAATGAAATAGTCATCTCTCTCTAAGACGGACACCTTATGAACCGGCACTAACCGTTTGTCTTAGACTATTGTCCGTTATATAGAGACTGAAATATAGGGAGTAAAGAAAGAGAGAGGCCATGCAACTTTAGATGCCCATTTCAGCAAGACCCTGGGGGGGGGGGGATTT